GATATTTAATTGCTTCCTAAATTTTTACTTTTCCTTTGTCACCAAATGTGGAAACCCTGGTATACAGTAAAATATGATCACTGAAAAGTCTTAAAGGAATAGCTGAATCCACGTAGTTGCTCCCTCATTGAATTTTAACCTCTTATACACAATGTTTCTCTATGGTTTCTTAGACCCAATTTAACTATTTCTAGATGCAGACATTAGCAATGATCCTGAATCTTATTTTTTTTAAAAAAGAGTCCTTTCAATTTGTGCATTTGCCATTTAACATCGTTTTCATAAATTTATAGTAAATTAAATAATCCCAGTAGCTAGAAGCATGAAATTTAGTATTAATCACTAGTGAAAACATAATTCTTCCAATGTAGTATTCTCACCCTATTTTCTTCATTGAGGCTAATTATACCCTCCGCCTTTCAGAATTGTTATCATTTCTGCATGACTAACACAATGAATCAGAGCTACATTGTTGCCATTTTTCAGCCATTCTCCTATAACACAGGTTCACTTTAGATACAGTAGATGAGAGACCATAATGTTATGCGTTTATCATAGTATGTTTATCAGATTATCCTTTATAATACACATCACAGTGGATTTCTGTGATATACATTATTGCACTGCATGGAAACAGGCATTTATTGGCAATAGTATTCTGTTTGGGCTATCAATGTCTAAACAAGTTGGTCTCCAACTCGATACACTGAGTATTAGGATACACACAAATACATTCACACACAAGAAAGGTACCCTAGCTTTCATGGGTTACACTATCCACGAAGATTTCATTGTTTACCACTCAGTTGTCTATTTCTTCCACCTTTGTGTTGAACAGCTACCATTAGACATGTCATTGTTTCTCTTTGCTAGAAGCCAATGTCTTGTTGTTTTCATCTCTCCATTCTGTCTCTCTCAGTCTTTGTCTATGTCTCCTGTTCCTTGTCCATGGTGTCTTAATTAGTCCCTAAAAAGACTCTTCTTTTTTAGAGACTATTAGTCTTTAACTTCTGCATACCAGTCAACTAATTTTGCTGTAAGCCATTGGCATTTGGCTTTCTGAGGCGCATGTGTTCTTCCTGTTGGTGACTCAAAGGTTCCTTCTTCACTATCATTGTTGGTAAATTCTAAACCCTGAGTATTCTGAATGCCAGATTGTTGTTATCTAGAAAACTCATCAACACATAGACAAGGTCTTATGGTTTTTAAAATACAAGTGTATATTTGTATCTACAAACTTTTTTTTATGTATTCAATGTTTCATGTTTGGAATTTAATTTAGTTCTAATATCGACAAATATTTATGTGACTAAAAGATGATCTACATAAACTAGCCTCTTTATATAAATTACACAATTCACTGCCACTAAAGTTGATGGCAAGTTAACAAATTCCAAAGAGACCCATTTGCTTTGTACAGACATAATAATGTAGGTGCCTTTCCTTCAAACAAAAATGTGATCCAAACTTCACATCATACTTGATGTACTTATTTATTGTTATTTTTTGACATGATTCTGATTTAGTTGTTTCGCTTTACTCAACAGATACAGCTATATAAATATAAAGGATAGTAGATAAGAGAAGTATACAGAATACAAAAAGCTAATTTTAAAATTGGTATTGAAATAAAAAACATTCATCTGAAAATTAAGGAATTTGAAACTTCAAAAGAAATATGCACAATCTAAATTTAGGGTTATAAACTATATAAACTTATTAATAAAAATGAATTCATTCTATTGTTTTTATTCTAGATAAAAAGCATTCCTAATTTTAAAATTTTATGTCTAGGATGAGTTAACACACTGAATCCAGTCAAGAAATAAGTCAAGTATATTACTGAATCAGTACAGCCTGGGAATTAAATTTGGGGAAATTTTAGAACAAATAAACACAACAGATTTGTGACCACTGTTGTAATTCAATCACATATAGAAATAGAAATCATCACAGAGAGAGTTCTTATACTCCATTCATTCATCCAATAAAAATTTAGTTCTTATTATGCATGAGGCATTGCAGGGGATACAATGAAAAATAAAGCATGGACTTTGCCCTCATGGGGCTTACAGTCTAGTATGGAAAAAATAAACAAGCACTTAGCATAACATAAGGGAAAAAGTGATGTGTCATAAGAAAGACTCAGACAATGTGCTGGGGAAGTCATTGACACTGGCAGACTTTTTTTTTTTTTACTGTAGGGTCTAAGTAGCCAATAAAAATAAAAAGAACAGTGATCAGTGCACAAAATTAAGTGTCAAATTTTATGAGTCTGTGTATGAAAAAAGCTGCAATATTAATGCAGTTTCAGTAACTACACACCAGTTTTTAAAAATATTTGATCACTGAGTTACAACCCATTAGGAATACCATCTTGCCAGTGTCATAAGTGGACGTAAATGGAATAATCTAATATTTAGGAACAAAAATATCATTTTAATGTAATAAAGACTCAAATTTTTCAAAATACTCATGACACATTACCTTTTCACACAGTAATTTGCTCATTCAGATTAAAGTGATGAAGAATTCCTCGATGGCTCAAGTGTGCTCCAAGGAAAGCTAGAAGGTTGTACAGTTAACTCCCAGGGTATAACTCTAAACCATACAACCTACTACCTCAACCCGGATGCACACAGCTTCCACTGTGGCTTCAAATTCCTTATCATATCTTCAGTCAGCTCCTCCAAATATGGCGGCCATACACCTAAGGGCTTGGCAAGGATGTAGATATAATATTCTAACATTTTACCAATTAACTTAATTTGTGTCTACTAGGACTATCCTAACCTCTTGGGTTTCTAGCATAGGTCAAACGAAATGTCCTCTGACATTTCTCTTGGCATAATTGTACTAGTAATTAATAATGTTAAAAGTCTATAGCATTCAGCTTCATTTTTCAAGAGAAGAGGGTTTAAAAGTAACACATAAATCCAAATATTGCCTTTAATTTTCTTATCGAAGTTGATGAGGTGCACTGACCACTGTAATATGAATTGACATTTCCGAACAGTATCTATTCAGATCCTGGTTCATACCTTGCTATAAAAAAAATCCAAGTTTCTTAAGCAATTTACTATCCGTGCATTCAAACTTGAATGGCTATTCCCTGAGCTCTTCCGAGTGGTCAACAGTTGCCCTCTAAGACAGATGAGGATTAATATATACATTAAAAAAAAACAAAGGAAAATACAACTACTTCAAAAGTAATCAACTGGAGTTTTACCAGAGTTTGGCCGAAATATTATCTAACAGCCTGGTGTACAGCACTTTGCCAGATTAACCGCACTGACACAGACCCATAGAAGCGAGCTTGTGCGGTCCACTTCACCACAAGATCGGATCTACGGGTTTATGCCAATGGGCGACATCTCACATGGGCTCCTTATTAAAGCAGAATTTATTGCAAATATCTGATGAACTTAGGAGATGAGAACAATAATATCAATTCTTTCATATAAATATTTTAAATGCTGAAATGCTCTAAGTATGCATATTCCCAGTTAAAGGCCTTCAAAAATATTCTAAACTAAATGGAGGTTCATATACATAAGAATTTAAAAAATACTAGATTGAAAGATTTTTCCACAGATTACTTCCATTTTAATAATATTTTAGAATTACACTATTCTAATTAACAATGAGTTGTAAAAGAAAAAAATAATCCATACATGCATGTATGAATTATGTAATTGTGAGGCATGAATGTAGTGTTATGAGCCTATAATTAAGACCAAATTAACTATTAAGCTAATTGTGTAAGAGTAACACTGTGTTTGTTCTGATTCTTATAAAACCTCGGTTAGTGGTTTCAAGGAATTGGTAACATATAACTTTCTCATAAAACAAATGAAATCTTGTTAACTGGGCAGAGTACCGAAGGAAGTTATTTAAAAGTCCTCAATATATACATAGCTGCCTATAGTTAGAATAACACTGAAATTAACAATATTTGAATCAATAAATAATAGAAAACTAAAATTCATCACATTAATAGCATTATTACTTCTACTGAGCGCTAACATTTATACTCTGGATCTATTTCATTAAAGAGGATTATCATCTCTCATACTCCATAAAGTTAAATTTATTTTTCAAAAATGATATACTTAAGACATAAGATATAGCTACATACATCTCTTATCTGGTCAACAGGTTGGGTAAAAAAAATAATCAAAAATACTTAAATCACCAGACCATGGACAAACACACAAGAATAAATATAAAGCCAGCCACATACATGTTTTTTAAGGTTCAAAATTCAACAGCAACAAAATTATAACTTGTACGATCATTAATTGTTTCACTCATAACCACAATATTTAGGATTTTTCAATTATACCTTCACTGCTAAAAATAATAGTACCACATACAAATTACTATGCATTTTCATGTTTTGAAATAATATGTGTTTTATAGACTTTATGTACAAAATTTGGTCATCATAATTTTCACCATTATTTGTTTCCAAATTATCAACATTCAAGATTCATGCATTCAATTATAATAAAAATATTTCAACAAAAATTCACAAATTTAGATGTGAAATAAAAGGTGGCATATATTTTGGGTTTTATTGTAACTAAAAAAATGTCTATTTTGGTTTCATTGTCTTATTAGATCATATGTTTAAGAGAAAAAAAATGACTTTATTCTTCCACCTTGCCAAATTTAATTTACATTTATATGGCACAAGAACTGATAAAATACACCTTTTCTTTTTCTTAAATAACTTTCAATGCAACTGTACTTCATCTATGTCATATGTATGGATATACAGATATTTATTCAAAGTGACTCAAACCATATACTGCTCACAAACTCAAACAAAATTTTTTTCAAAGAGGCAGGTAACATAATAAAGTCTCAACCACCAATTAAAATTTCAACAGCAAGATTCATAAATAATATGAAGTGAATTCTTATAACTAGTCAAAATTATTTTGTTTTTTTTCTTAAAAATTATTAAATATTGTTCTTTTGCTTTTCATTTTTACCTGAGGTGATTTTCTCCTATGATCACTTTCTTCACTTCTCATTCCATGTTAAGTTTTTCCCTAGAACAACCACAAAAGGAGAAATATCAGACAACTGCTGTCCAGAAGGAGCATCTGGGAGGATGGTGGGAATGAAGGTAGACTACCGAGAAGAAAACAATACGAAAATGGGCAAAACCTTTTAAACTATTTTTTAAAGGCTTGGAAGAGTCATAGAGCCCCACCCAAGGCTCCTCATATGACATATAATGTGGTTTCATAGTTTGCATTTATGCATTCATTTTGGTTGGTGGTGTTTTCACAGTAACAGTTTTGAAAGTGAAAGGAGGCATGGCTGTTAAGGAAGCGACTAGGTTTTGCACAATGAACTAGTGAAAGCTGAAAAGAGATGTGGATTTGGCATGAGCTTAATAAGATAATTAAGAGTGTAGAGATTAATGACTCCTAAAAATAACGTTTAAAATAATGTTTTTCAACTAAAGGATCTTGAAACATGAAAACAGGTTTATAAATGTTAATTAAGCCTGTGCAAGTTGACGTTCCATTAGCTGAGGCAGCACAAAGAAACAAGAGCTATTTTTTAAATAATTAGGGAACAATAAACCATAAACTTAATAAAATGTTTCATTTGAATGTTATCAGTATCCAGGGCATTTGTGATTTCCTATAACTCTTCACAGAATAACAAAAAAGAAATAATTCGTCAGTTCTATATTTAGTCATTGTTTACCCAATGTATTTTCAATATAATAAAATATGGTTTTAGAAGTACAATAGTTTGCTCAAAGTTTATTCTTTTCATGAAATATTATAGCATCAGTTTTTAATATGCAAATTATAGTCTTCATTTATACGTTGTATGTTTCAAAGCATTTTATTTTTTAAACATGTTTAGAAAGTTTTAGTCAAAATTAAAATCCATGGAATACATCTGTTAATCCTTTCCCATTGAATCAGGCAAAACTGGGTTTTGTTTGTTATGAAATGCTTAAATTCCTTAGCAATTTAATTCTATAAACATAATAATTAGAATGCAATGCACTTATCTGCTGAGCCAATATCTTGCTAGAAACTTAAAACAAGTTTGTATGTACTTTTTCCACTGAAATAGCTAATGGATATTTCCAAAGCACCCTGCAACAGCTCTAAGACAAATATTTTCTTTTAAAGTATACTTTAAAAGAGAGTATTATTGTGGAACAAGCTTCTTTTCTACTTAGCAACGGAGAACATGATCTTTTCAGCACTATTTAGATTATACTGAAATCCTGGTAAATTATTTAATATAACTTCCCCCAAACTAATTTTATGTATCAGTAGCTTAATGCATATTCTAATATGACCCTTTTTTTAGAAGCTCAAGAAGTTTCTTTCACATTTCAAATTATGAGTCACAGCACATGAAAGATTTCGTTTCTTCACCAATTAGGGCTAAACACTCACTTTTCTTAGATAGCAAAAACTAATACTGTACACAAAAAAGCACAGATAACATATTAATGTCCTTCTAAAACTTCTATGTTTGACAAAAATAAAAACATAGACCATCTTTTTCATAGAGATTTTCTATTTATAGTTAAGTTTCTATTCTAAGCAGGATTAGAGCAAGAGAGTAAAAGAAAAAAGTTAATAAGAGTAAAGTGGGTGACGAGTTAAATAAAAGTAAACTGAAAGTTCAAGGATTCTCTTTTCTATAACAGTAGGTTTTAAAGGAAACAACAAAAAAGTTGTACCTGATATGAAAGGTGCGATTTCACCAAGTGCAATATACTGCTAATTATGCCATATTTTTGAAATAATAAAAATAAGAAGGCTCATTTGCTTATGTTGCCTTACAAAGCTGCTTTACAAAGCTCGATGTCTCTGTAGTTATACAAGCCAATGTTTGCTTTTTTTTTTGGTTTGTTTTGGTTTAGATTTTTGTTTGTTTTTGTTTTTGAGCAGGAACGTCTCATTTTTTTTCATCACTGTTGCATGGAGTGGGACATACTCCGTTTTTTGGTTTTGATTTTTTTTTCTTCAGGGCTCTTGTAACTTCTTGGAAAAAAGGACCCCGGCGCTTGTCTTCTCTTTCCTCCTTTTCGGCATTCCAGGCACAAAGCACTGCGCAGAAGCTGCACCAATCCTTGCTGTCCCTGGCAGCAGAGTGGTAGAAGGTGGGAGAGACCAGGAATCCTTCCAGGCTGTGCTGACTTTAGAAATGAGGATTGCACACGTTTGTCTCCTGAACCAAAAGGGTGAGAAGGCAGGGTGCCAGTTTGCTACACTGCTGCAATGATCTCATGCTCACTGCTGCTGTCGTCTTGTTTGCCCAGTTCAAATGCCTGTTCATTATAAACCAAAAAGAAAAGAAAAAAAACCTACTTGGATTCTTCAGCAAGCAGAAAGGGTATTAACATTTTTAAAAAATCAGCAGTTAGAAAAGGCAAAAAAAAAAAAACAACAACAACAACCAAAAAACGAAATACACACAGTTTTAGGATTCACTTGTTATGCTTCAATATTCTGTTTATATTTTTCTTTTCTTTTTTTTCCTACTTAGAGATAAGCAGCAGAATTTATCAGGCGTGAAAGGGACAGCCTCCTGGTGGCCTGCCAAAAACCCAGAATAAAGGCGAAGTTGTGCTTCAAAGCTCAGTCGCTTGCTGAGTCTGGCTAAAGTCAAGTATTAAGATCCACCATTTTCTGAGCAATGCTAGAAAAGAAGAAAAAACTCAGGATGGTTGCTGCTATCCAAGTCTCCGTTGGCACCATCACAAAATCTCAGTCGGAAGGTCACATGATTCTCTGCCAAATGTAGAGTGCGTTCCCATCAACCATTCTGCTGATACTGCGAAGGCAGCTATTGTCTCGTTTAGACCCAAAGTTCAGCCCACTCTTCATTGAATTAGCTGAAAAAACGCATCACCTTTGGGGGCTGGGAGTCATGGAAACGTCTACCTGGCAAGCTGCCCACTTTTTCTGCCCATCAACCAGAGATGGAATTGTGCTGCCTAATGCAATGATGACTTGGAATGTGAAGAGTCGTCCAAAGTGAATCTGATTCTTGCAACGCCTGTTTCAGTTTGCACAGAAAACTCTGGCTTCTTGTAGTTCGGGGGCGGGTGGGGTGGGGGAATCTTTCATATTAAATGTAGCAAATAAAGGTCTGAACATGCCTACTCTGAACTTTATTTCACAGCACACCCAAATGGTTCTCAAATGAAGAGACTGAACACTCCGCAAGTTTTCTGAGTTTAAGGCACCCCTTCCTCTGTTTTCCTTATGAGTAAATGCAACAAGCCCAGGTCATTTGTTTTAGTTTCTCACACTAAGGTTTAAAAGCTCAGAGATTCTTCTTGCTTTTTATTCCTCTCTGATTTTAGGTGGTACTGATTCTGTACTACATGGACACAATATCCTCCAGCAACAGTGGGGATGCAGGACTGCTGCGATCTCCCTCGGAGTGGTCCCCTGAGAGAAGAGCCAGTTGTCTCTCTGACCACACAAAACCCTGCAACTGGGTCCAGGGGTAATCCTCTGCACTACCTAGCACAGCTGCTGCGCTTGTTTGCTGAGACTGACTCATGTCAGAAGTGCTCTTTCTGTTCCTCCACTGGCTACGGTTTGCCTGTCGGGAATGAAAGATGCCTTTGAAAGATGCAGGGAATGTATCAACAACTCATGGGCAATAAAATGAGATGGTTCCCCCTCCCCAATGAATTTCCATTCTAGCAGGCAACCAAAGTTCCCATGGAAAAACATTTCCATACTTTCTAACAAAAGTAAAGGGAATTAAATCTTTCACCATTTCCTTGAGCAGAACCTACAGCCAAGTGGAAAACCAAGTCCTATTAGTATTTAAATCAAACATATTCAATAGTGCTGAAAGTAATCATGTTCTCCTACCTGCATTTAAAAACTTTGATGATGGGAAGATCTTTATCTAAGTATAATTTCATTTGCAGAAAAATTTGCAGTTATATTCGGGGCTTTACAAAATGATGGACTAATGTTATCCTTCCTACATGTATATATACAAACACACACATTGCACAACAAACGACAAAGATATAAAAAGATAATAAAACCTTAACTTGCATATAAAAGTCATCCACAAAGTTGAGGGATTTAGGAAACATCTTTCAAATGACCTATTTTTTTTGTAGCATGTTTTCAGGTCACTTTCTTTTGAAGCCATAGGAATGAATGCTCACACACACACACACACACACACACACACACACACACACACACGAAAAGCATTCTGGTGTCCTCCTCATTTGTAATTCAAAAGACAAACAATTCTAAATCATAAAACAAAATCTAACACATGTGCTGAAACTAAAATGGCTTTTTTCTATTGTGAAATTCTGGACAAATTTTGTTCGTGTCCTAATGCACATGGCGAGTATGCAGCAAGGAGTCAAGCATGGCTGGCAGATCCATGTGCCCCATGCCTCAGCACAGCGAGAAGAAATCAGATAATCTCTAATGGAAAGAAAACTTCCCATTTTCAGTTCTCATTCACTTATTCAGCAGATATTTATTAAGTAAACACAGTAAGCACAGGGGAAGAGGAATGAATCAAATGGGCATGCTCCCACGTGGCAGTCATTCAAGAACTTTCAAGTGAGAAAAAGCTCACTTCTAAACCTAAGTATTGCTGGCCCTAAGGGAACGTTTATTGGCAACAAACTGGTCAAGAAACAATAGTATAAACTGGAAAGTGGAAATGAAATGGATATTAAAAATAAAGATAGAGAGGCATTCTGTCTCAGGTGTTCTTTTTAACTCAAAATTTAATCAGTGTTCATAAGTCTGTTTAACTTCCTTGAAGAAACTAATTCGAGAGTTGTATGTTACCCTCTCAGTCAACAAACTAAAATAACAGAGAAAAGAAAAAGAAACAGGAGATGTTCACTTTCCAGAAGATGCCATAGACTTAGTTTTTCCTAATCCTCCTGTTAAGCACAACTAAAAACAACTTTGAGTGTTATACATGAAACACACACCAGGAGGCTCTGAAAGACAGAGAGAAGACCGACCAGTCAGAGACCTCAGAACCCAAAGAACAGCATGGTGGTGAGGTCCTTGGATTTTATTTTTGCCTGATATACCCAAAATGGGCAGCTTCATGAAGGCACCTATAACCCAGAGACACCAACTGGTGCAGACCAGAAAAGCCTCAGCAAAAGCCTGCTCTCTCCAGGCAAAGGACCAGGAAAGGGCAATAGCTAGAAAGACAGTTATCATTTTACTCCAGGAAAACACCACACAAAAATGCACCCCACACCTGCAAAGGCCCAATGGGGAGTTTAGTGCCGACCCTTGCTAGAATAGAACAAAGAATCCCGAACTTCCCTCCCCAGTTCCAGGCGGTATAGGGAAGTCTGAGTAAAACATTGAGACTTTCCTTCCTGTCAGGGGCTCCCCCACCAACCACAATACAGTGCCAGTGCAGACCACACAAGGAACCTGAACTTGCAACCTGGTCCAACAGTAATGAGGCACCTTCTCTATTCCTGTTAAAGTGGTATCAAATAGAAGAGGCCCAGTGAAAATTCATGACCTTAGAAACTTCCCAGGAGCAGTAAAGCCACCTCACCATCCCCCAACCTATAAGGTGCCGAAGAGGCCACAATGGGAGTAGTAATAAATCACTCCCACCATTCTAGCCAGGCAGGCATCAGTGGAGGCCTACTGGGGAACAGGGACTCTCACCCTACCCAACAGTGATGAGAAGCCCTCCCACTCAGGTGTTAATGTGGCTGGTGGGGGGGACCTGGAATTCTACCCACATCTGGCAGTGAAGACACATATTCTTTCTTTGCTGCAGTGGTGTTGGAGGAAGCTAGCTAAAACAGAAGGTTTCTATAGCATCCAGAGCATTGTAACATGTACCCCAAACATCCAGATTTCAATGGGAAATCATTTGTCACACAAAGAAGCATGAAGATCTCCAAATGAATGCAAAAATAATAATCAATACATGGGAACACCAAGATGATAGAAATATTAGAATTATCTCACAAAGCCTGTAAAGCAACTATCCTGAAAATCCTTTAAGGAGCAATCATGAACATGGTTGAAACAAATACAAAAAAAAAATGAAAAGTCTTAGCAAAGAAATAGAAGATATAAAGAACAACCAGATGAGTGGGGGGAAATGGAGACAACTGTACTTGAATGGCAACAACAACAACAAAAATGAATAACCGGATGAAAACTTCACAGCTGAAAAAAATACAATCACTGAAATAGAAAAGGAAAGAAGGCAAAGGAAAGGAAAAGCAGTGAACTGAAAGACAGAGCAATAGCAATGTTCAAATATGAACCAAAGAGAGAAAATATACTTCGGTGAAAAGTAAATACTCAGGCAAATGGGTAATATAAGAAAAGTAAAGCATTCTTATATCATGCAAATGTTAATTCAAGAAAGCAAGAGTAGCAATATTAATACCCAATAAAAGACTTCAAAGCAAAGGAAATTTTCCATATCAGAGGTAATCATAAAATGATTAAACAAAGACAATCCATGAAGAAAACATAAAATCCCTGAATGTGTATGCACCAAACAAAAAAGCTATAAAATGTAGAGTACAAACTGGTAAAATAGAAAAGAAAAAAACAGATCCATGACTATAATTGTATCCTTCAACATACTTCTCCAAACAATTGATAGAGCTAGACAGAAAATTAGCAAGAATACAGAGCTCAATGATATCAGCAGGATTTAATTGACATTTTTAGATGTACTGCCCCAAAATAATGGAATACACATTGTTTTTAAGGGCCCACCAACATACTATAGGATAGGCTATTTCCTGGCTCATAAATCAAATCTCAACAAACTAAAAGTAAGTGAAATCATACAGTGTGCTTTTGGACTGCAGTGGAATCAATCTAGAAACCAATAATAGAAAGATAACTAAAAAAATTACTTAGCAACTAATAACTCACTTCTGAATAATTCATAGGTTAAAGAGAAGTCTTAAGGAAAAACATATTGGATTGAATGCAAATAAAAATACAACATAGCAAAATTTGTGGGACACAGCTAATAACAGTGCCTTGGAGGGAAATTGATACTATTAATTGCATATGTTAGAAAAGACTCTCAAACCAATAACCAAAGTTCCAACCTCAAGGACCAAGAAAAAGAAGAGCAAAGTCAACCTAACTGAAGAAGGAAAGAAATATTAAGGATAAGAGCACAAATAAATTAAATTGAAAACAGAAAATAGAGAAAA